ATCCGAGGAATCTTCAAAAACATTATGGAAAGTAGAATACAAGCTAAATTTATTTTGGTGCAAAGGAATGTTGAAATCTATACACAGAGGCAAGAATTCAGCACAGCAGTTAAGACATCACTTGGGATACCTGGATCCAATTTCAGATATCGGAATGCCCAGGTTCAAGTCTCAGCTCTGCTTCCAATCCCAACTTCTTGCTAATATACACGCTGGGAAGCAACAGGTGATGGCTCAAGTGGTGGGTGCCTGCCACCTACATGGGAGACCCAAATGGAGTTACTGGCTCTGGCTCCAGCCTGGTCCCCGCTGCCGTGAGCACTGGGAGGAGCAAATCAAACAAAGGAAGATACCTTTCTATCTGTTTGTTGGACTCTGCTTCTCTCTATTCTCATTCAAATGAATTAAAGTACACAAATAATTTTAAAGCAGGAAATCCATGCATAGATTTTCTTAATATGCATTTTCCATAAACATTTTTAAGACCCTACACATGTATGAATTTCAAAACTTTTCAGGCCCAGAGTTTTCTCTATTGATTGCATTTCACACAGCGCTTTGAAGCACCCTCACACCTGCCTCTTGGCCTGCTCTGGTGCATCCGGCACTGCCACCGTCCCCGTCCAGCAGTGCTGCCATGTACTCATGTACCTCGCTTTTTGTTTACCTCATTGAATAGAGCAGAAGTTCCACGAGGGTGAGGATTCTCCGGGTGCCCCTGGCAACAGAAATCACTCCGTATTGACGTGTATTGAACTTTTGGACAATAAGACATTGGAAGGGGTTTTCTTAATAACGTCTTGGCTTACAGTGTTTGTCCTCTCTACAGCAAGTCCAAGTACTGTCTCTACAACAGTAGATGCTAGAACCGTCTTCAAGCTTGGCTCAAGTCCCTACTCTCTCATGATCGCCTCGACACCTTCTCTCCTTTATGGCCCCTGTGAATGTTGTAGAAAGCACGGCCACACCAACCACCCCACAGTTCAGCAAAACGGACCCTCCTTCACATAAAGCTTGAAAAAGACTCTTGAGAACAGGGGAATGAAGAAAGGATGCTTGGCCACTATTTTCTGAAGCACACTGAAGAAAATAATTATGGCCGGCGCCGCGGCTCACTAGGCTAATCCTCCACCTAGCGGCGCCGGCACACCCGGTTCTAGTCCCGGTCTGGGCGCCGGATTCTGTCCCGGTTGTCCCTCTTCCAGGCCAGCTCTCTGCTGTGGCCAGGGAGTGCAGTGGAGGATGGCCCAAGTGCTTGGGCCCTGCACCCCACGGGAGACCAGGAGAAGCACCTGGCTCCTGGCTCCTGCCATCGGATCAACGCAGTGCACCGGCCGCAGCGGCCATTGGAGGGTGAACCAACGGCAAAGGAAGACCTTTCTCTCTCTCTGTCTCTCTTACTGTCCACTCTGCCTGTCAAAAAATAAAAAATAAAAAATAAAAAATAAATTAAAAAAAAAAAGAAAAGAATTACGCAAGCTACTAGAACGGCAGGAATGTGGACGCCTTCTGTAGAGCCCAGGAGCTACACACTAACATGGGAAGTGACAGAAGAAGAGGAAGTGCATTTTTCCCACCGTGTCTGCTCCTACTATCAGTCTGCGCCGTGGACTGAAGTGCAGAACGCAAATGTTTTCTTTGGGAAGGCCTGACCGTGCTTGCCAAGCCCTCCCCAGTGGTTTCCTGAGAGCCCACCTGACACCACACAACAGGTGAGGCCTGCAGATCGAGCCTCTGCCCCCTCCGAGCTCTCTGCAGCGCTCCCCTGCACAGACCTGCTAAGCTCTTTAACGTGCCATGCCCCACATGCTCTCTCTTTTTGAGACTCCAGGCTTTTGCCATTTCTTCTGCTAGAGTGCTCGTAACTACGCCTCTGCCTGTTGAAACTTACTCTTTTCTCAATGTGTACGAACAGCAACAATATCAAGAAACAGGTGTACAGTACTTAATACACACCAGGCACTGTTGTGAGCACTGAAGTATGTCTTCATCTATATTGGTATGGTATTCACATGTTTTTAACAAACTGTCATTCTATACTTCATGTATAAAATAGTATAACAGTATACCTGACATATATTTTAATAATATGCATTTTATATTTTATATAGTAAAATAATTTAAAAATATTTATCTAATATATAATATATGTAAATGTCATACAGACAAAGGTATTTCAAAAAGTTCTTGGAAAATAGAATTAAAAGATGATTTTTTGGTGCAAAAAATTTTGGAATTCACGCATAGTTTTTTCATAACGTACATTTCCCAGGAACTTCTTGAAGACTCCTCATATAGAAAATGAATTTAATAAAGCACAATGACTCCTGTATAAGATATTATCTCCATTATTTAAATGAGTAAACTAAGGCATGAGGAGTTAAATGATTTTTCCTGGATGAAACAGAGGGTGAGAGGCAGAGCTGAAATTTAAACAACAAATAGCTTGGCTTTAAGTGCCAAGGTGTGAACCACTAATCACACCACTCACTTCAGCAGTGCACCTGCTAGTCGCTCTCTCAACAAAATCTTGCCTAGTTCTGTCCTCCACTGTACCCTGCATCCATCAGTTACCTGTCTCCCTGTGTGGTGATTTGTTTTCACCCCCTATGGATCTATCCCACTGCCCATTCCAACTCCTACCTCACCTCCACCCTACATGAAGATAAGTGAGGAAGAACTTCCTGCCTTCCTGTTCATCGTACAAACACAATGGCTGGCACACTGTAGAGCTTCAGTAAGTGACTGCAAAATGAATGAATGAAACAGCTGTGAAGAGGTCAATGGAAATGTGCACAGTGGGTCTGTTGTCACTGGAGGAAGGACACACTCCTAGCACCATCTGGGCATGCAGGGATGGGAAGGTCACTACAGTTGCATGGACTGGGGAAGAGCCCCTCGAGAGGCAGGCCCTTGGCAGAGTGATTATCGCACAGTACAGGATGTCCCTCACCCTATGTCAGAGTCTCTGCATTCGACGCCAGCTCCATCCTTGATTCCAGATTCCTAATGCACACTCTGGGAGAAAGCAGGTGAAGACCAAGTACTTGGGTCCCTGGTGCCCATGTGGGAGCTCTGGTCTGAGCTCTAGGCTCTTAGCTTTGTCCTGGCCCAGCCTTGGTTCCTGCAGACATTTGGAGACTGAACCAACAGATGAAGATCTGTCTGTACATATGTCTCTGTCTTCCATCCAAATAAATAAAAACAAGTAAGTTTCTTAGAAGATGTACTTTGGGTTTAGGTTGTTTTCTAAATAAAGTGTATATTCACTTAATAAATACAAGCTACTTACGAACCCAGTAGTCAGGAATAAACATGTTTCAGCTTTTCTGACCTATGGGACTCTAGGTTATAGGGGGAAGATGGAAAACTGGATAATGTAAACAATTCGTTTCCAATTCATGGGGATTCAAAGGAAGCAGCAGTCACTCAGGATGGTAACCAGAGGCAGTTACAATTAGGAATGGGTAGATTTCTGGGACAAAGATCTGAAAAGTCAATCTAATGATAAATTAACTTCTTAGCCAGCACCTCCCCCGAAATACCAGCCCACCAAGTTTTACATTTCTCACTGCAAATACTAAATTGGTTTCTTAGAGAACTCATTATCCAATAAGCTCTCTCCATAAAATTTTCCTAAGGTTTTTTACTATTGCTAAACAATCAGCATTCCCCTAATGAAGTAAACCTAGAAACAAAAGATAACAATAACCAAGACCTGTGGCCACTCACTGCTTTGACCCTAGTTGAGACATATATGAGAAAGAAATATACCTCTAGTGAGTCCTAATTTATAGTAATATACATAATAATAAATGCAGGTACTGATAAAAGTAATAGTCAAACCATCCTAGGCTCTAGCCCCTGCCGCCATTGCTGGAAGCCAGGTGGCCACATGGCCCAACCACGGGTGTCAGCTCCACCCCCATCCTAATGGGATTCAATTTCCTGCCCACCACCCCCCACCCCCGGGGAAAGTTTTAAAAGGACCTGTTCCTGAACACGTGGCTGTCTTTCTCTTTGTCTCCTGATCTCTCCCTCTCTCTGTCTCTCTGTCTCTCTGTCTCTGGATCTCTCTCTTACACCCTCCTTCTCCCTCTTTTTCCCTCTTTGCCCCTCCCCTCCAGTCTGTTGGGTTTCCCCCAATAAACACTTTCCCTTAAAAAAAAAAAAAGTAATAGTCAATATAGGTTACAGTCAAATAGCATGCAATTTTGGAATAGTTTGTATTTTTCAACATCTTTAAGTTTTTCTCCTCCCTCTTCTCTCTCTCTTTCTCTATCTCTCTCTATCTCTGCCATTCTTTTCAGATTTTGCCCTCCCAAACGTTTCAACTAGACCTGTCAATGAAGTCCAAAGCCAGTGCTTAATCTCAAGGCAACCATTTGAAGCAACAAGAAATGAGTGCCTCAGTACTATTTAGTATAACACCTCTAACAAATTTAGACAGCAAAGCAAAATAAAAGATTATTATGACAAGGAGTAACTGGAAGAATAAAAATTTATCTTTAAAAAATAAAACATTAGCCGGCGCCGCGGCTTACTAGGCTAATCCTCCGCCTAGCGGCGCCGGCACACTGGGTTCTAGTTCCGGTTGGGGTGCCGGATTCTGTCCCGGTTGCCCCTCTTCCAGGCCAGCTCTCTGCTGTGGCCAGGGAGTGCAGTGGAGGATGGCCCAGGTGCTTGGGCCCTGCACCCCATGGGAGACCAGGAAAAGCACCTGGACCTGCCTCCTGCCATTGGATCAGCGCGGTGCGCTGGCCGCAGCGCGCTGGCCGTGGCGGCCATTGGAGGGTGAACCAACGGCAAAAGGAAGACCTTTCTCTCTGTCTCTCTCTCTCACTGTCCACTCTGCCTGTTAAAAAAATAAAAATAAAATAAAAAATAAAAAAATAAAAATAAAACATTATATAAATATAACTTTCCAAGTTTTAAATCAAACTAGAATAAACACATTTTACCCTGAAATAAATTTTAAAGACAATTCTTCTGTTACTTACTTGGTTGAAAATGAAAGGAACCTCTTTCTTCTCTCCCACTTTCATAGAAGATACAGGAAACGTTGCTGTCCCTAGAGTTTCATCCATGACATAATTGGCATCCATCAATGTGATCTGTGAAGTAAAGGAACACAAGTAGGCAATTTCCCAAGGATCTTTATCTCTATCATATTTATAAAATAAAAATTCTCAAATGTGGTTAATAATCATTTGAGTCCCTAGTATTTAACAAATAACAATACTTCTATCCCTTCCTACAGAACACTCTATTTGCTATAAAAATCATAATTTTTTCTAATATTATCCTGATTGGTCAATTTAATTATCATGTTTTCAGAAACGAAATCTTACCTTCTCTCTGTTTTGGAATATAAGAAAAAAAATTAACACAGAAAATCAATACAACTACTTTGGGAAAAATCTATTTTAATTTAATTTAAAGGAAATTAAAAGTAATTCTGGGGGCCAGTGTTGTGGCATAGCAGGTAAAGTTGCCATCTGAGATGCTGGCTTCTCATATGGGTGCTGGTTCATGTCCCAGCTGCTCCAGCTCCAATCCAGCTCCCTGTTAATGCACCTGGGAAAGCAGTGGAGAATGGCCCAAGTGCTTGGGCCACTGCACCTCTGTGGGAGACCCGGAAGAAGCTCCTGGCTTCAGCCTGGCCCAGCCCTGGCTGCTGGGGCCATCTGGGGAGTGAACCAGTGGATGGAGGATCTTTCTGTCTCTCCCTCTCTCTCTGGAACTCTTTCAAATAAATAAATAAACAATTTTTTTTAACAAACACACAAAAGTAATTCTGTTCTGCCATCTAAGATGTTTTCTCCGAAGCACAAAGGAAGGACACTCATGTCCCCAGCCCCACATCACGGCTGCATTCCCCTGGACGCTCCCACGGCTTGACGTGCACGGTCTAGGAGCTGGTCTACCAGGTGGCCCAGCTGCTCTCCAGATGAGTGTGCCCGGGGGAAGGAAGGCAGTGAGGGAGCAAAGCCAAGCACCTCTCATCGTGAGTGATGACCATCGAGCAGCCCCCACATGATCCGCTTACCTCCAAAACATTTTCCTGGTTAGGATCCAAAATGAACTCAAAGGCCTCATTCCACACAGGGTTTATGTCATTATTGAAGTGCCTTGTTCTCTTCCTGCTGTCAGGGGTTGTAGCGATGAAAAGCTCCACATAAGGATCCGGGGTGTCAACTGCAGGCGGGAAGCACAAAGAGCAGGAGTGTGGCCCACGCCAGCGGATCTGCAGCGAGCGCACCAAAACAGCTGAGACGAGAACACCGTCGGCTGCACACACTTACACATGCTCCTGCCCTTCAAACACTCCTGTGAGGGGAGACCGCTGCTCGACTGATCTATTAGGATTCTCTCCACCCTCTGCAGTCAGCATCTTGGTCCAGCTTCCACAAGATAAGCATGATCTCACCCATCATCTACAGTATGACCTTCACCCCAAGGTCATGATGTCTGCTACATCAGACACATCACCCTGGTTACTGTTTACCAAGCAAAACAACCAACCTCATTGTTAGAGGAATGTTGTTTGCTGTTATGAAGTTCATTTGTATGATTGTACTGGTTGTATACTGAGCAACTCTAAGGCATCCATGCTCATAGTCAGTATGTATTGATTATGACCATATTCATTCAGATGACTACCTTTTCTGTATTACATAATGGCCCCCTTGAGTCAGTGTGTCCACTGAAATACAAAGAAACAATTGCAAGCGGCCAACATTGTGGCATAGCAGATTAAGCAGGCCCTGTGATGCCAGAACCCCATGTTGGAGTTCTGACTGGAGTTCTGCTGCTCCACGTAACCAATCCAGCTCCCTGCTGTTGCGCCTGGGAAGGCATCAGACGACGGCCCAAGTTGGGCCTCTTCCACCCTTGTGGGAGACCTGGATGTCCCAGACCTGGCCGCTGTAGCCATCTGAAGAGTGAACCAGCAGATAGAAGATTCTCCTTCTGTCACTCTGCCTTTCAAATAAATGAATCTCTTTAAAAAAAGAAACAACCACAAATAAAAGAAATATTTAAATTTCTTCTGTGTGTATATGCATATACATATATATGTGTGTGTGTATATATATATATATATACCAACACAGTATAAATATTATATATATGACCAACACAGTATAAATATTGATCACTCTGTCCGCAGTGATTCCACTGAATCTTGCAGCATCTCAGAGCATTGCACATGCTGCATTTCTGGATGAAATTATACATCTATCTGGTTTTTTCCTGCATACTATAAACAAATTAAGGGCAAGGATCTCATCTACTCATCTTTAACTCTTCTGAGGCTAGCAACACAAAGCAAATATGCACTTTACAATGTCTTTCTCCTGTGGCTATTGTAATCTTTTAAATATTTATTATTTGAAAGGTAGAGAGACAGACACAGAGAGAGAGAAGAGAGAGAGAGAAAGATCTTATATCCATGGTTCTCTCCCCAAATGCCCGCCAATAGCCAAGGCTGGGCCAGGCTAAAGCTAGGAGCTCAGAACTCAATCTATGTCTTGTTTTTAAAGATTTATTTATTTATTTGAAAGTCAGAGTTACAGAGAAAGAGAAGGAGAGGCAGAGAGACAGAAAGAGCAAGAGAGAGGTCTTCCATTGCTGGTTCACTCCCCAGTTGGCAGCAATGGCCAGAGCTAAGCCGATCCGAAGCCAGGAGCCAGGAGAATCTTCTGGGTCTCCCACGTGGGACTCCAGCCCAGATGATCTGATCCTGATCACCACGCCAAACATGCACCGCAGGCCATTATAACTAATAACCACAGAAACCAATAACTAAGTGATGAGCAGAAGCACCTTACATCCACTAGTCTCATTTAAATCTCACAACATTGCTGTAAGGTAACAGGACCTTAGAGATTGCAGTGTTGAGGTAACAGGACCTTGGACACGTTAGGTAACCTGCCCAACATCACGCATCTAAAATGTATCAGAGCAAGATCTTGAACCGGGATCATTTGACTGTAACCATCATCCTCTTAGTGGCCTCGTGCTCCTGTCATCGGATGAGATCATAAGGAATGGATTGCTATTGAAAAAGAGAAGACGGACTTGAGGAGAAAGAGAAGAGAGAGTGAAAGAACATAAGCATGGCCGGTGCCGCGGCTCACTAGGCTAATCCTCCGCCTTGTGGCGCCAGCACACCGGGTTCTAGTCCCAGTCGGGGCGCCGGATTCTGTCCCGGTTGCCCTTCTGCCAGGCCAGCTCTCTGCTATGGCCAGGGAGTGCAGTGGAGGATGGCCCAAGTCCTTGGGCCCTGCACCCCATGGGAGACCAGGAGGAGCACCTGGCTCCTGCCATCGGATCAGTGCGGTGCGCCGGCCGTGGCGGCCATTGGAGGGTGAACCAACGGCAAAGGAAGACCTTTCTCTCTGTCTCTCTCTCTCACTATCCACTCTGCCTGTCCAAAAAAAAAAAAAAAAAAAAAAAAAAATGAGCAAGTGAGGGTGTGGGGAGAGGAAAAAAGAGAGAGAGAGAGAGGAAGGCGGAGGTCCACATAAAGCAATGCAAAAAGTTAGAAACAAAAATAACCATTTCTATGCTATCGATTGATTTTCATAGAAAACTACATGCCCTGTCCTTCAACAATCGTGTGGTCATCAAACAATATGATCGACATCCTTCATTTAATTTCTAAGCACTGCTTATAGTTCTGTTACAGGGTCATGAGGCTCACCTTTTTAATTTTGCCTTTTTCTTTCAAATGGGAAACTGTACAAGGGAGACATCAACACCTGGGAACATCTTTTGTTTGATTTTCCAGCTTGCAGCACAAGCATCATTGACCCTGGCAGTAGCTCTCTGCACATGCCTGGGCCTCTAATGGGAACACAGACGCCTGCTCCTCAGGCCCCGGGGGCCATAACAGAACTACAGTGGGATTAGGAACCTGCACTGCTGAACAAATAGTCCAGCCCAGGTTGCTGGGGGTCACCTTCTGGTCATGCTTTTGATGTCCTGCCCCAGAGATGAGAAAGAGGCAGATGCTGCCCTTAGCAACTCCACACAGGCCCAGGAAAGACAAAGACTGCATGGGAAGCATGGCAAGGGGACATGGACCCAACAAGGAAAGGTCACGCCACGAGGTGACTCCAGCACAGCACAACCAGGGGGCCCTGGCTGAACCATGCTTCTGCCATCTCTCCAGTGCTCAGGACTGCAAGCCAGAAACAGACAGACAGGTTTAGCAGAGCAGGTGGCAGACCACCATACAGAAATGTGTGATGTTAACGATATCATTCAATGGACCCTTCAGATGAAGTGACAAGCAACACAGCCCTTCTCCACCCTATTGCACCATTTCCCTTTCATAGGAATACGGTTCTTTTCTATCCGTTTCCCAGGAATACTAGAAAAAGCAAAGCCAAGTAAAAGCCAATCTGAAAAGAAAAGTGTGTGGGAAGGGGAGGCACGCAAATGGTAAACACCATTCGCTCACTCAACAAATATGTGAGTGCCCACCACATGGCAGGAAGTGCCTGTCAAAAGTCAGTGTGGCTTTGATAGCAAGCCAAGCCCCAAACGGCAGATTCAAATTATGGAAGTGAGTCAGATGCTAATACCTAATTTTAGAGGCAAGGTAAACTAGAGACAAACAGGTACACTAGGCCAGTGACTAGTAACTCAGTCACCCAAATGATTACACACAAATTAGGTCAAATCATCAGTGGGAAAACGGGCTTTTGAAATTATATCTTCATCTGAATCTTAAGAGGAAGCAGAGGACTCCTTGGACCAAACAAGGAAAAGAAAGCAGAAAGCGGAGTTCCTTGGAAGGAACCTGATAGGAAAGAGTAGGTAGCTGTGGCATGACTCCATCAGGCAGAGAGCAGGCTGCCCAGCCCGTTTGGATCCTGAACAGCTCATGTGTTTCGACACCCTACAACTCAGACAAAGCGATAAAGGAAAGCACCACGGAAACAAGATTTGTGCACCATTTTCTATGTCAAAACATCAACAGAAGCCAGTTTAGAAGTGTCACTTCCAATTCTTAGTATTTATTTTTCCTTTAAAATATAAAATCAATGTTGGAAACGGTTGGTCTAGAGTGCCCATTGTTCTAGTTTCTCCTCTTGCTGCTTGAGCCAGAGACTTCAAAGCTAAGATGTCAAAGGGTGATGGACATGGGAAACCACTGGCAGCTGCAGACTTCGATATAGCAAGTGCATCAATGCTAATCTTGGGGAGCAAGAAACATCTGTTGCAGCGGCAGAAGCTACAGGATGAAGAGCAGTTTAAAGGAACAGCAGATTACCATGGGCACCCTCTCAGCTCACTGTCTTTCTATAACCTATCACCGTCTTGGCCTGGTAGCAGAGTGTGAAGCTGCACAAGGGTTTTTGACAGCAAAATGGCTCAGTGCTTTAGACAGGTTCCTAGAAATGCACTAAGAAAGAAAAAGTCAAATGTAAGATTTTTTTTTCCCTCCTATATATTTATTCCCTGGCTTTGTGAATTAATGGCTATCAGGCAATTAAGTGTTGAGTCACCAAATCAGCCTCACCTTGTTCGTTTCCAGCCAAACAGGTGGGGAAGCAAAATTGTAATGAGTGGGCAGAAACTCTCTTACATCTCACCCTTTAATCTAAATCTCGGCAAACAAAAATGCTGGGGGTGTGGGATACAAATCTTTTGTGTTCCCATAAAGATGACATGAAGCTACATGTGCCAAAAATAGCTTCAGGATTCTGTGGATGTAAAATGCACACTCAAACATCATGGTTTAAGGAGTGACTGCCTGAAGTAACAACAGATCCCTCTGTCACTTCAGCTTTGCCCAAGTTATTACGTGATTTGTGATGGAAACTGATGGCAACGTCTAAATCCCTAGTTCTGTCTTTAAAAAAGTGTACTGATTTATTTGAAAGGCAGAGTGACAGAGAGAGAAGGAGGGACAAAGAGATCTTCCATCCCCTGGTTCACTCCTGAAATGGCTGCAATGGCCAAGACTGGGCCAGGCCAAAGCCAGGAGCCTGGAACTCCATCTGGGTCTCCCACGTGGGTGGCAGGAGCCCTAGCACTTGGGCCATCTTCCTCTGCTTTCCCAGGTTCATTAGCAGGGAGTTGGATGGGCAGCAGAGCAGCCAGCGCTGGAACCAGTGTTCATTTGTGATACCTTTATTGCAGGAGGTTGCTTAACTCTCTGGACCACAATGCCAGCCCCTAAA